CTTTTAAATCACACTGTACGATTTGTTTATTTCATGTTTGCTATATGAGTCCATCTACTAGCTCAGATTAAGTGCATTTGTGGCAATTTGTATTGATTACTTTACCTTCATGAAAACTTTCTTTTGTTGATAAAATTAAATTTCACACATCAGTGAAAATTGTTTTGGCAATCCTTTGTAAAGTTTTGTGAAAAGTTTGGCAATTGTAAAATTATTTACATTACGATATAAGCCTGCTTGTGAATAAGCTGTTCTAACTGTATATTATGATATAGGCCTGCTTTTGTATAAGCTGTTCTAACTGTACATTATGATATACTTCAACTTTAAGCTCTTTTGACTGTTTAATTTTCTTTGTATAATTCCATTCATAGACTGTAAAAAATGCCTCTATGTTTTTTCTCTAATAAACATTAACAACTTACTTATTCAAATTTTTTATATCTCAGTGTTATGTGTTAATGTTTACCAAAAAAAATATGTCATTGTCATGTTTTATTTGTTTAGATTTATTTTCTAAATTGTATCATAAGTATGGACACAATATGCCGCTCCAGAAATAATTGAAATAGCACTTAGTAATGACAATGAAATGTACATACCGGTAATTAAAACATATCAGTGACATCCACAATTTTAGCTCTTTGTCAAAAAAATTTGATAATTGAAACAAAAAGCCATACTGCCACTGTTGTAACTATGGGTCTAAATATAAAAAAGCATTAAAAAAATTTTTGGAACCTTGCTGGTTGTAGGATGCATTGCGAGTCTTTGGGAAGTAAAGTTCCCCTTCAGATCATATTGGCCTACCCATGGGGAAATTGAAGCTGCGTTTACAAGTTTGAGTGTATTGCCAGCGCAATAACCAACCACCTTTACTTTTGACCAGCTAACGCCAGAGCTGGGTAGACTAAGGGACACGCTCAAGTATGAGGAAAAAATACTAACCTTAAACTTTAACAGGATTACATTCTGTTATCAATGTAGGGCCTGTATGCCCCTCCCAATCTCTCACATGGCCGCCTGATGCAGCCACCTCTCTGCATGGGCTATTCCTGACAGAACAATTCTGGACTAGGTGATATATCATAGGGCTTTTAAAACACTAAACGATACCCTATCAAGCTTTGACATCATTTTAAGACCTCTCTACAATGGGTGAAAGTGAGTCTACATGAAGAATACCGGTACCGGTACAAT